AAATATTAATATTTTTTGAGTTATTAACGAAAATCTAAATACCATTTTTTTAAAATCTTATTTTGTCAATAACAGTTGCAATTTTTTACCTACACCAAAATCCTTCAGAAACATTTTTCTAGAGGTGATTCCGAATCGAATGAGCTATCGCTCATATTTTTAGGACCTTTATCTCTATTTTTCATGTTTTTGAACTTGTTGATTAGACTAGGCTTCATGTGAAGCGCCCGTCGTTTTATTTTGTGGTATCAAAAATTAACATAGTTGTAATTTCCAAGAAATAAATAATAAAAATATATGGCCCTTCTGCACTTTCGTAGTTTTTGCTTGCTCTATGAGAAGTTGAAATTGAAAACATAAACGAAATGAGAAGATTGAATTTTTCGTACTCATGTCACGGACGCCAACAAATAAAACACATTCCCCCGCCGCGTCAGTCTGAATGCGATAAACTCAAAGATTATCGTAAAACGATGTTGTTAACCGACAACAGCTCATTTATTTCTTGAATTGAATCACTCATTTTACCCTCTTGATTAATAAATACCGTTTGATGGCCATTTGGTTGGTTAAATCTCCTGAAATCATTGCTGTGTTTGACGCAGGTTCCATTCTTGCTCATTTGAAAGATTTCAAAATCGTGTCTGCGGCATGACGTTTCTTGGTTGACTTTTGTAGCATGCTCTAAGCTCTTCTTTTTAGAATTCCTCTTCATAAGAGGATGGTTAATGGAAAAACTCATTTTGAAAATCATCCCATTTATCCTATCAGTGGACTTATTTTGCAGCAGTAAGAAAGGTAATTGACTGCCAATCATCAATTGGTTTATATTGTTTGAAGAAACGATACTTTCAAAGTGTTAATAATGTATATTTCAGGTTCAGAAAAACAAGTATTTGTTTCAAACAATTTATTGCACATCTATTCGAATTAAAAATCAAAAAATAAAACATATTTCTTTTTTTTGTTGGTACAACAATCTTTTCATACAATCATTAAATAAATAAATTCCATTTGTCTTTTTTCCATGAAAACTATGCTCTCCAAACTCTAAACCAACAATAATATCCACATATCTTCAAGATGAAAAAGTTAAATTCGTGACCAGTTGAGACATAAGGAGGTGGATGTTTTAAACAGTAAATCAAACAGTAAGCCTAGACAACAAAACTCAGATTTTATTATGAAGGCAACTCAGAATAACTGACTACCGAGACAGATGTCAAAACTTAAATTCGTTTTTGACACAAAAATTATACCTAAATCCACTTCCCTATTTCTTTTAAATGTAATGGACGATTCTATCCTCATAAAAACAAACAATAGGAAAAACGTCAATGATTTCTACAGACTCGGAACAAATCCAATAATTTAATGTTCTAACGCAATCGTCCGTCATCTTCACTATTCTAAGACTTTCGTCTTAATTCATTGACTGTACAAATCTTAACACTAAAAGATCACAACCACTGAAAATGTCTGTTCCAAACCTCGTTGGGGCCAGTGAGAGTTTTTCGAAGAAATATCCTTCATCATAAGTTTCTCAGCTGCAAAAAAAATTCAAGTCATTTATTCTAATGAAAATGAATCAAGTGAAATAATATTTCATGCTGTTATGTAACAATAGATGAGATATATCAATGCAGTTAGTTCCCTATTTCTTTATGAAAGGTGGGATCATGAAAACGAAACAGGGCGATTTCTTATGGTTAAAAAAATCATCTAGACCCGTCGATTTTTTGTCATATTTGTGAAATTAGTGCAGCAGATATTGAGAAAACACTTCATTTCGATAATCTGCCAAAAACAAATTTTACATTATTTTTAAATTTAAGGCTTATAAAAGTTCATCAAAATATACAGTAAAAGTGTAATTACAATGTATTTGGACAACTTGTAGTAAGTTTTTTTATAGTTTTTGAAAGCTTTAAATAATTATTCTTGTTCTTTCTTCTTACATACTAATTTCAATATTATTTGGGATTTTATCATATAAAAGAGGAAGTTAATATTCATTATTTCGTTGGCTTACAGATTTATTTCATTCAGATTTTTCTGATATTGTTCTATTCATCCTATTGTTTATAGAAAAGTAGATCTGCAAGCTTATGCAGATGACCTTGTTATTGTGGCAAGTCCACGTCGTTCACAGTTGGTGCCTAAGGGAGCAGATGTCTGTCAACCCCAGCAAAACTGTGATAATCTCCTTCACCAGGCGGAGAAAATTGGACGATCTAACGCCACTTTCCCTCAATGGGTAGGTTATTCCATTTGGAACGGAGGTGAAATATCTTGGCATTGTCCTTGATAAAAAACTCTCACTTGGAAAAAGTTTTACATGTCCCTATGGACATGTCGAAGGATTTGTGGTAAAACTTGGGGTTTAGGACCCAAACAAATCCATTGGATTTATGTGATGGTTGTCAAACTAATGATCACTTATGGTACAATTGCCTGGTGGCCGAAGGCTTTACAGAAAACGACCCAGGCGAAGCTCTCTGGCCTACAGAGACAGGCTTGTCTGGCTATGAGTGGTGTCATCAGTACCACGCCGTCAGCGGCTATGTAAATCCTTCTAGATTTACTTCCTCTCCACATTTTTCTGGAGAGAGAGGCTAGATGGACTGCATACAGACTTGTACACATTGCCCATTGCACAAATCATTTTAATGCACTGTTGGTTGGGTTGACACTAGAAGTCACAGCATTCTGGAAATGACCTCTGACTTTATGCTTCCAACTTTCAACTACGAACTGCCTCATAAAGTACTGTTCCCGACTAGAAAGGACTGGATCCTCCAGGAGAAGGAAATATTAAGAGTAGATTGTTCACAGATGGATCAAAAACACCTTCCGTTTCTGGTGCAGGTGTTTTCAGTCGCAGATCCAGGACAGAGATATCAACCTGCCTAGGAACCTATGCGACTGTATACCAAGCGGAAATTTCCATTATTGAATTGTGTGCGAAGAGATTGAAAGAATCCAACCACATACACAAGTGAATAAAAATATTCTCGGACAGTCAAGCGGCGTTGGAAGCTCTTGGCTCCTACCGAGCAACGTCTAAATTGGTAGCAAATTGCCAAAAATGACTCTCCTCGATAGAAAGACTTGACAGATTATCTCTGGTCTGGATTCCGGGCCATACTGGCCTGGAAGTCAATGAAGCTGCTGACTCCCTTGCAAAGGAGGGTGCTGTAAGCAGCTTAATCGGACCAGAATTGGCATCGCTTTAGGCTTTGCCAAACAAACATTGAACACTTGTATGGCAATAAGATTTATGGACTTCTGGCAGAATCCTCCCGGATTGGCTCACTCCAAGGCGTTTATTCACCCTTCGAAGCTTGATGCCAAACAGTTGTTGGACTACAATGGGAATGAACTACGATGTCTAACAGGCCTTCTTACAGGCCACTGTCATTTGAATAATCGTATGAAGAGACTCGGACTGTCGGAAGACAGTGTGTGTCGCCTCTGTTTGGAAAATGGTGAAACGGCAGAGTATATACTTTGTGCCTGCCCCGCTTTCCATCTGATTCGAAAGAAAGACCACTCACCATACAAACTAATCGGCTTCGTTAAGAAGCTGAGTTTATTTGGTCGAGTGTGAATAGGTGTGTGCCACAACAAACCCCTGCGGGTTGCGGTGGAGTGTCGAATAGACCAACTTACTTTGGACCTAACCTATTGTATATATGTCTAGTGAATCTTATTATTTCAGTTTTTGAATGCATGTGAAAAACATTATAAGAATGTAATTGATTGACATCCATTTTTTTTCTGTGAACAAGTCACTGGAGTATCTATATTTATTGCTATAATTTATTTTTTGCTGGTCCGTTCCATCTAAGTATTCCATGAGAAAGTGGCCAAACTAAGGAAGATACTAGACTAGAGTATCTCCAAATGATTTATTTTAACAACTTGTTTCAATTATTTGAATATTATCATTTTTTTAACATATAGTTAATTTGGTCATTCCATTTCAGATTTTTATTTATCATTATTCCCAGATGTTTGATATAGTCAACTGGTTTCATTTTTATATTGAGAAACATATCAAGGGAGTTCAACAAGATTTCAACAAGAGAATAGAGTATATTTGGTTTTGTGGAAATTTAGGTTGCATAGTTATCACGGTGTGTTTCTGAAAATCGGATCATCCGTTCCTGAGTAACTAGCAATTTTATATTCATTTTAAGAATCTGAAAACACATGGTGAATAATATAATTTCAAAAATAAATGTACTCTAAACTCAATTTATTTTCAAAATGTTCACCAGACTATTTCAAGAGATCAAGTTTGCCTGTCCACAAGATTCAAATAATGGGTTCCCAGTCAATTCTTGATGAAAAGTAACATCATTCAGAAACTCATTTGGTTTAATCAATTATCTGAATCAGTGATTCCTCGGCTAGCCAATAGATCATCTAATATGGCGCGTCTATATTTTTTTGAGGTTTTTGAAAGGATATGTGACATCTGAATTGTATGATATACACAAGCACAGTTAATTTCAGATTTTGTGGATAGAAACGAAATTTGCATTTGCAACGAAATTACCCCAGGAACATTCAATAATGTGAGGAATGCATTTGTGAACAGACTTTATTATTGCCAGGAAACATGAACGTTCTGAACATTCCGTTAGTCTTTAGCTCGCGCACAAGTTTCTCAACTTCTGAGAGTTGTCGTTCGTATGGGGGCGACAGCTGATTAACGGAAAAACAGATTTTAAACAGAAACAGATTCGCTGGAATAAACTGTAGTAAATTTTGAATGAATGTTTTTCTTGAAATAATGATATTTATTACTCAGGAACGTCAAATGTGATTTACAAAAAATGAATCATTGTTTGATAGAGAATTGCCTTCGACGATAAATGATGCAACACCTTGTCTGTTCTATCAAAAAATACTGAAAATGAGTTCTGTTTTTTAAATTTTGCCCGACCTTGATAACTTGTATTGAGACACCAAATAATTCATTTCCAATGAAAAATAAAATTTACCACAGAATGCCAGGAACAAAAATGAGTTTGATTGTTGTTTTCGAGAAGAACTAGTTCTCACGAAAACAATGTAGATCAATTTAATATTTCTTCAAACTACAGTGTCATTAGTACGTAATTTTTCTAATTCATCACGCGACTAGTTGATTTGTAGTTGATTTGATATAAGAATAATCTTTCTGTCCTTATTTGACTGTTGTTTCTGCGCAATCAAAAACTCGCCGTTTCCCCGACTGAATGGACTGCTGAATAGAAGGCAGCTGCAAATCTCTGCGGATGGATTCGTTCCGTACGAACCACGGAGCATTCACAACCATCCGTATCAACTTGTTTTGCAATCTCTCCAGAATGGAGATATTAGACGGAGCCGCTTGTCCCCAGACGCCTGAAGCATATATGATGACAGACTTGAATCGTTTTATAGATCGTAAGTTTGTTCTTTAGGCTCAGTTTGGATCGTTTATTGATCAGAGGGTACAGATTTTTGATCCGACCCTCAATCTTTGCCATCACGGTTATGATGTGCGAGTTTCAGGTGAGCCTACGGTCTATTAGAAGACCGAGGTACTTCACCCGCGCTTGCCAGTCGATCTTCCTTCCGGAGATTCTCATTTTTCTGGCCGGAGAAGATATCGTTCTTCCGATGGTTATCGCCTGAGTCTTGTCCGGGTTCACTGGGATCTTTCATTCGCGGTACCAGCGCTCGAGGTCGTCCAATGCACGTTGCATGTAGACGATCCCGAGATCCCGACCCATGGAAGATGAGAAGGCAGCCTTATCGTCGTCGTCGTAGAGATATATCTTCACACGCTCAGACCTCGGAAGGTCACTGTAGAGAGAGTACAGCGTGGGAGAGAGCATGGCCCACTGTGGCACTCCAGCGAGGATCTCTCTGTTGTCAGACAGAGAGCCCTCAACTCTAACCTGATATTAATATCATTATTATTATTATTATTATTATATGTTCTGTCGTTCAGGAAAGACCCAATCCTCCATCAGGCCCCAAGGCAGGTCGAACGCGATTAGTTTATGCTGAAGGCCTGCGTGCCATACACGGTCGAAGGCTTTCAAGATGTCTTATAAAACGACATGAACTCTGCGATTTTGATTCAGCTCTGCGATGGTGTTTGTAGCTCAGGGGAGTGTTTTTTCCTGAAGCCGAATTGTTCGTCATTTCGGTCCTCAACTTCTTCATTGAGTCTTTGCAGAACGATTCTTTACGCCAGCTTAGCTGCCGACGACAGCAAGCCTGATCGGGCGATAATTCTGCGGGAACAGCAGGTTCTGTCCCTCTTTTGGGATCATGACAACGATCGCATGCTTCCACCTTCTGGAGAAGTATCTGAGGGTCAACGACCTGTTTATTATATTGGGAGGGTTTTCGACGCAGTTTTCCGGGAGCGTCTTCAACAACCTTTTACGATTTGTGATTTTTATGGCGAAATTTGGTCGAAAGCATGCTTCGTTGTCATATGGCCCGTAAAAATGTTTGATGTTCATCCTATTTTGGCTAATCTTTTGAAATTCGGTCAATTTTCGTGTGGTTTACAAGATGTAGAGAAGGTAGATTTATTATTCCCATGCAAGTCATCATACCCTGCCTAGTTTGTTGATAGCGATCGCCTGGACACCAAACTGAAGATGTATATGCTACAATAGATTCAAGTCATTGTGTTAATCCAAAACACATTATGTCTGGTCTAAGGTTCCATGTATTTCTTTAGGTGAACCTGGACAGCAATTTTCATTTCTGAATGCCGATTTCAGGTTAGACTGAGATCTACTATCAATTCCTGGATAGCACCTTGTGCACTTGAACAACATTTTCCATTTCTGAATGTCTATTTCAGGTTACACGGGAATCTACTATCAATTCCAAATATACAACTTTTCTAATGTTCAGCCCTTCTTGGTGGGTCCGTTTTATAATGTAAAAACAAGTAGCCGTAGCCCGTGTCCTAATGTCAAAGCATAATTACATAATATATATCACAATGAAGCGGATTCTCTCTCCACAACAACATACATGAATATTCGGACAACAAAAAATATCTCTTTTAAAATGGAAGAAGTAAGATGCATATTTTTGAGCTACTTTAATAATATATTTGAAAAAAATCATACTGATTAGTATGATATTGAATTATTGATACGATATCGTTGTTTTCGAAAGTCTAAAGAGTGCTTACATAAGAATTGAGGAACACTGTATACAAACTCTAAAAATGAATGAAGTAATATGGTAGTGAATATTACTGGAGTTTTTTCCCAACACCAAATCGTTATTTTTAACACCAAGTGATCACCAAGTGATCATCTTTAAGGGAAAGATTATCTTCCTTATCACCAAGTGATCATCTTCAAGAGGAAGATTATTAAAATTAATGTTAAAAATAACAATTTGGTGTTGGGAAAAAACTCCAGTAATATTCATTACTACACCAAAGGTTCCAAACAGTGCATCATAAGTAATATGGTAGTCATTGGTTCGAAATTAGAAAGGTTTCAGAGCAGTAAAGTATGAGTTCATCCATGCGGCATTGGTTATCAACAGCCGGACCGGAGCCAATGATTCAAATTCTCTCCATGCCTTAATTACATCCACCACCTTTCAGGAAAAAAATGAAAAACTGCATGCTACCCAGACATGTGTGTAGGAATGTCGCTCAGCCTAGACTTATGCTTTATGCCTTATAATACCTTATTCAGAACGGAAATTTTGGCAGTCATATATTTATGAGGTCTATCTGACTTAGGACTGCCAAAAGTTAGTAAAAAAAACTGGAAGTGAAATACAGTATAAATGGAAAAAAGAAAATTTTCTAGTACAGACATTTTTTTTGTTTTCTCCAACTTCAAACAAAAATATAGTAAATTTCAAGGCAATGCTTTTCTGTACTTTCTTTCAATCAAGTGCCAGGACCAAACAATCTTTGCTACCAAAACTATAGAACATTGGCTTCGTGAACGCCAAGCACTGCTCAAAAAATGGATTGAAGAATTTGAGTGTCATTGAGTCCGTCCGATATCAAAGAATTGTCCACTAAGAAGCTGATCAACTTTTTTCAGAAGTCTCAACATCTCGAAAAGATTATGAATGATTGAAATACTGGGTGATGAAAGCCTTACAAAAGACAATAAACTTGTTAGACATCAAGTTGGTACGCCATCACTAGCACACGGATTACAGTTGTCTATTGGGCGTTTTTAAAAATGTGGAAAGTAGAAGGCTTTATTTCCATATGTAACCTACTCTATTATTTCTCGTATGACATAGATGTATGAGGAAATCAAGTGTATGTGATTGTACCATCAGGAAAGGTACTTGATTGAACAATGGATATTTATTCCCATGTATCCATTGCATTGTAGTGTTCTAGACAGGCACCTCAACATACTACCTTTTTGAGATCATTCATGTTGGAGATTTTTGATGTAATGTAATGTAGTGCATTGAAATTCGCGTTAAGGCCTATTTGTAAACTTCGTCTAAGGTATGTTTTACTAACTTTCTCTCATAGAAATTCGATGACTTCGAACTAGACATCTTCTGTCAATAACGGTTATTATCAACTCAAATTTGAAGACTATATCGAACATTAAAAAAAAACAGAATAATACTATCAGAAGAATCATGCATGAATTAGGAAAAAACATTTCTGCAAGAAAAAAAAAGGAAATATAATTCAAATTTAGAGTTAACGAAGATTAATATGAGCAGGCAAATGAATAGATTCTTTCGAAGAAGAGACAGCAAGACACTAGCATTGAGATACTGGATTAACTGAAGATGAAAGAGGAACATTAGCAAAACACTGACAAAAGATTGACCGAAGAGAAAATTTTAAACAAATGCGTTAAATCTTACCCAATCTCACGATACTCTTCTGTCTACAATAATGCTTTTCATAATACTACTGCTACCCCTAATTAAACTAGAGCTGCTGAAAGACCGCTTCAGGTAGTTGTCATTCAAGTCTTCCGTCTTGTATGGATTTTGGGACGTTTTCCCAAAATCTCCGAAGTCATAAGGACTTTTTGTTGTCTGTCTTCTTATAGAAAATAAATTGTCTTGGTATGGAAAACTGGATATTGCATTCGGAAATGAACTTGTGATTTGTTTTTTGGAATTATTGAAACTGAATGGGGATTTGGTAGTTGAAATGGATAAAAAAACGGACTTTTTGGTAGTTACGGCGTCATGGGGTGAGTTTTGGTTATTGTGATACAGAGGATTTTTATAAGGTGTGTTGGCCAAGTTATATCGTATGTTATAGTATCTGTGGGCATTATTGTCATTGTAATTGGAAACCGGAGCTTCTTTAATGACTTCTTCTGCTCCCTGTAAACTATGTACGACAAAACAAATTATTATTGACACTTTGTATGTTGAAAAAGTTAAATGAAAAAAATTGGTACAAGGTTTGGACAATACTTTTTCATGATGAAGATATCATTGTGATGAGGGCCATGTGATAATCAGTTTCAAATTATTAACAAAGCAAAGTTAGGTGAAAAAGCCTTAACTTGATTTTATATACAAGACAAATGTCATTACTCACAACGGCCTTGGGTTTCCACTTCCTCTGATGTAAGATGGAGCGTTTTGAGAGTAGTCTGGAATTATGTTTTCGTGCTCTGCTACGCACCTTCCATCAAGACAGTACTGTAATAATGATATTCAAATGTTATTTGGATTCATATATATCATAGAAAAATGGAATATTTGCAATTGAAGAATTGTTAGCTCTTATTCTTATTTTTAAAAGGATAGATGAGTTTTCACTGGAATCGAACAATTGTTAGTTGAATACGAAGGTTATGACATTTGTGATAGTGCGCCCATTAATACTTGTTAAGTTATAATAGAGGCAAGGCAGCATTATCCATCACAGTGAAATTTATAATGAAGCGTTTAGACTGTGGATTATTGCGAATCAATCCAATGAAGATGAAGAAGAAATCGTACGAGCACCGTGTTCAGTGTTGCCAGGTCTACTGTTTCTGAAGTAGATCCTGTTCTGGCTCTCGAGCTAATATTTTACTGTTTGAGAGTTAAAATCTACTGATGATTTACTTTACTTTCTGTAATGAATATTAAATGAATGTAAATAGTGGAAATTACCATGTGTGTGGCATGAATCTATAAAATATATTTTTTACTGGTTTTTGTATTAATCTACTGTTTCTCTGAGACAATATCCACTGTTTAGCATGAAAATGACTGTGTTAGAAAGGCGTTGTTAGGGGTAATACAATCTTAGAACTTCAATGTCTTTTCAGGACGTCTAACTGACGAATTATTCGAAATGTGAACCATTTACTTCCAGGCACAGATATGGGGATCTCGGAGAGCTTTTATATTTCTGTTAGTTTCGAAAAGATTCATGGTGATTTTTTTGGGAATCCTATTGCATGATAAATATAAAATATTTACTATCGAAACTGAAATCAGGATTACATTTTCGATTTTATATAATGAATGTGATTGCTTCAATCCTGATAGAAACACTTACGAGATCTGATCAAAAAATAAGGTGAATTTTAATTTTTCTCAAATGTATTTATTTATTCATCAATTTCTATTTTGTTCTCTTCAAATTTGTTCTCTTCAGATATAATACACTTGTGCTATTGTTTATTTCAATTCCCGAAGTTCTTATATGCAGTTTTTGTTCTGTCCTTGAGCTCTCTCACTTTTTTATCTCAATCTTCGCAAAACGCCGTCCTTTCATAGGTCTCTTCAATATTGTGGACAGTTAAAAGTCGCAGGGGGTCAAATCTGGTGAATAATGTGGCTAAGCCATGATTACGGTGTTTTTTTACTTTTACTTTTACTCAAAATTCGATGCAAGTTTTTTGAATCATTGTTTTTGATAGCAGAAAATCGCCGAATACGCAAAATAATAATAATGACTTTATTGTGCATAACTTACACACAAAAGGGTAGGGGTTAGCTGTCTTCCACCCCTCCTATTTAATGATAAAATCAACATTTTTGAGCGATAAGATTTTGGCATAATATAATTCAATGTTCTTCAAGCACACATAATTTCAAAGAAATAATTTGATAAATACATCTCAAACTGCAAAGTCTTACCTGACCATCTCCACACGGTGATCCCTCAGCAGCTGGCCTATAAGCTACACAGTAGCCACTTCCGGCATCGAAACAAAACAGCTGCGCACACACCCTGTCATCTTTCTGAAAATATATCGTCAGTATAAATACTAAATTCATAATTCAATAGTTGCCTCTAGAACGGAAGCCCCATGGACATGCGATCTGCCGTACTTTAATTTCGGAGACTCGTTGGAAAAAAAAATCCTGAACATTTTTTTGTTTTTATGTAGAAATATTGAGAGCCGTAGTACCAAGAAACTCATTAGTACCTTCATGAATAGTTGATTCCATTGACTGTTATGAGTTCAGATGGATTGTATAATTCGTAGAAGTGATATTTTTCTAAAAGACACGGCAAAGACCTTTATCCAACTGACAACAAAAATGTTTTCTTGCTGTAGAACTGTATTTCAAGTACCTACGTGATGAAACGAACCGGTGGTGAAGGGTCTGAGGAATTTTTCGAAACATCGCTCATTAACAAAAGGAAAAGATTGGTAACTACCTCTTCTGTGACGTAAATATGTAACCAGTATTCTGGAATGGATAAATCTGCGCCTTATCACCAGAAGTTGGTAAGGAATGAAATAACGAAAGTATTACTGATTCAGATTCTCTACACGGAGAATGATGACTTAGATGGAGTAGCAACATTTTGGAAGCAGGTTCAGTTTTTTCTGGCGAAGAAACAGTCGCGATCAGCAAGGTTACTTCATATCCATTCTACAATCTCCATGTCTTTTTTTACTAAGATTATCTGGCTTAGGATCTGTGGCTCAGCTGAGGATGAATATGTTGTGAAGTGTAATTGAAATCGAGAAGTGAATTTCCGTTTAGGTGAAACAGAAACTGGATAAGTACAAGAATCGAACAAAATGGCCAGCCTTGATTTCTAGTTGATCAGAGATTAACACATCCGAGGATAAACACCAAAACTGGAACCTCTGGCGTTGAATGAATACAAAACAGATGAAGTGAACCTAAAAATGTACATAAAAAGTTAAACAATAAACCTTTACATTCTGGGCGACAAGCCATAAACGCCTTTTCTCGAATGTTGGATATTACGAAAGCCTTAGAAATCCTCCGGATCTCTCAATAAAACTAAGTTACATATGTGTGACATAAGCTCTCATTTTGATATTACAGACAACTGTCCAAATATATAGTTATGAATGTGATGAATGTGCGAATACGGCTCTAGAAATCAAGGAAATGTGCTTGTCATAATATTTCCAGAATGTATCGATAATGAGAAGTGGGGGGGTTAACAAAGAGCCTTGAAAAATATCGAGAACTAGTGAAGATCGAAGAAAGCAGTAGATGGAAAGCAAGACAACTAGCTTTTGAAAAGACGGCATCTATGGGATCGACAGAAAACTCACCACGAATATCAAATATAACCAAAGCTCTTAGCAGCGGTCAGTCAGTATCTGAAATCAATATAGTAGATCACCTATAGACCGATTTCAGCGTGGTCCTGCTGCTGGGTGAACGAAAAATGTCTGCAAGACTGTAAGGTATCTTGCATAAATGTCGGATATAATTCAATGTCCAGCGTGGTATTAGCTGGGAAGTTGTTGTATCAGAACCTACTGTGTGGGTACGTTGGTAGAAATGAATGTTTTGAGATTCTATTTCGAAATATATGTTTTCATACAAATGTATCTCTCCTCAATACAATGTTTGGACATGTTTTGATTTCAGTTTGCGAAATGTTTAGATGATGAATCAAACATACCAAATAGTTCGCCTTCGCTTGTTATCATATACTAATCAGTTATGATTAAATCTTCTAAGCTGCTGAGTACTGATGGTTTCATATTTTGTTTGGGTCTTTTTTGTTATAAAGGTTCGTTATATAGTTCATCGACCTATAGTACTCGCCGTTGACTGTGTAGGCCTAGCCAACGTCGTTCTCAAAGAAATATGGACCGATGACGCCCAAAATTCACACCAAACAGTTATTTTTTAGAGATGTATTGGACGTTCTTTGATCTCATGTGGATTGGTATCGTCTCAAATTCGACAATTTAGTTTGTTCATGTACCAATTCGTCCAGAAATGGGCCTCATCACTGAAGATGATTTTTCGATGAGAATTAGGATTAATTGCCAACTGCTCCAGAGCCCACACGTCGTTGTATATGGTCCTGTGTCAGTTGAATTTTGTACGGGTGCAAGCCCTAATCACGTTGCAAAATTGGCCAAGTTGTGATCTGAAAAAAGTCCAGTTTTTGTGAGCGACGCAAAATCGACTGCCTCGGATTATCCTGCACACTCTCACAGACAGTGGTGATATTTTCAGTAGATCTTGCGATTCGTTGACGTACGGGTTTTGGTAGATCGTTTGCTGACCCGGTGGATTCGAATCTATCTACTACATTGCGAATATTCCTCTCGATAGGACGATTATGGCGACCGTAAAATGGGCAAAGCACGCAGTATGTTGCCCGAACAGAACACTCATTTGCACCTGTTGTTGAATGCTATGTCCGTCCTTGGTGATTTGGCAAAACAGACTGAATAAATGACATCTAATTTGTCAGATGTAGCTTTAACAAGATTGTCGTTATCGATTTTATCGATTGTCAAAGTTGGCAAGTCCCTGTTGGAAGACCACATACTGCTAGGTTCAGACTTTACTTGATTGTCAGAACAGCCGCGTTGTGGTGATCTATATATGAAGAGGTTTGGAAAATAATACATTGCGAAGTACCACATTCTCGTGGTACATTACCACTTCAGTTCAGGCTGAACTTTTGACATTTGGTCTGCTAAAAATAATCACATTTCCAATGTTTTACAGTGCAAAATTCATCTCGAACATAAAGTTATCCTTCCAATAAAAGCTTGTCACTTTCTCCACATATCCTTCATGTTTTACTACGTATACTATTTTTTCGCCCATGTTATATCAATTCCATTTTTCGATTTCATCAAAAACATCTCTAAATTGTACCTTTCAGCCAAATTGAAAATATAGTATAGAGATCTGGGGAAATGATAATTTGAAGAAAGAGTTTTCATACATGTATACTTGATATGTATATCGATATCGTTTCAAATTTCGATAAAATCATTATTCAAACAACAGGTCTTTCGATACTTTGACCGGAAGGAACGTTTTTTTTAAACAATTATCAGTTACTATTATTTCTACATGAATACTTACAAAACAAGCGCTGGTTCCTCTATCTCTTCGACACTGAGCGTCCAGTGTTAGTAGTTTTCCTGGCAACACTCTTGGCAAGTTATCGTCCTCATGTGGGGCATTGAATAGACACGTTGCTGTGTCACCACTGAAAAGTAATTTTCAAATCAGAAATTTATTTTTCTCAAAAATGTAATTCAATTTAAAATATAACACTCTTCTGGTTTTCCTGAAGAAACTGCTTTCTACTTGGGCATAATCGTTTCTGCACAAAACATAAAGGAAACACTTCAAAGTTATTTCGTAGATGAAACAAAACACATCAATAAACATTCTGGAGATGAAAGTATAGTGAATATATCTGAGTTGAATAGGAATGAAACAGAAATACAACAGAAAGAAATTCATCGATGCCCATGAAATAACTAAGGAATGAAGTTGCAGTATTTTGAAGGATTTATGATGTGTAGGTGTAGTAATGAATATAACTGGAGTTTCTTCCCAAAACCAAATCGTTATTTTTAACACCTCGACATGTGTTTCGATCACCGAGTGAAGATTAAAACTGATGAAGGATGTTGAAAAGTGAAGATATTAGAAATCAACTAAAAAATCAGTATGGAAATGAGAAACGTTGTAATTGCAAAAAATCCAATGGAAGCAGATATGATAAAATATGAAAAAAATCATCGGACTAAGGAATACATCAGACAATATCAATAAAATGGGAGAACGGCATAGTTTTCGAAGCGAATTTTTGAAATAGAAAGTTGGAAGTGAAAATGTTTCGACAGTTTTTGATTGAATGAAATCTGAACAGTTGAACAGTAACAAAACTTATGGTTTTGATCAACTTGCTCTTGAATTTGATGACTTCTAATATGACCTTTTACCTTTTACCGTCGATATTTAGATTAAAGCAATGAGAAACACGAAGACTGTTCAATTTAGATTATGTGAAGTAAGGTTATTCATAAGATAATATTAATACTATCTCTAATCATGTACAGTGTGTTATTAAACTTCCATTATATGATATATTACATTTTCAAAAGGTAAGTAAACCGAGACGAGTTATTTCAATGACTCACAATAAATAGCAATAAATAAAAAAGGTTTTCCCAAGTATGACACTGGTAATGCAAATTTTCCAAAAAAGTTCTTGCAACCTCTTATTATAGAGAACTAAATCAGTTATGCTGCGTTGTATATTTTTTTTGTTATTTCTTGTTCAATTCCTTGAGAGTTGTTTTCAAATTGATTGTGAAGATGAAATATATTATAGATCATCCCCTAATACATATTAACTATTTTTCTGGCAACCCTAAATGTAGGGTTTGATAAATGCACATTCTGTTATTGTCTGTCCTCATAAGTACATAGTACATACCCTACACTAAATATTTTTTCATGGCGCTTCGGAATCTGGATAGTGTGGTCTCATTTCTAATATTTACTGGCAAACTTATTGTAAGTCTTTATATCCATGGAAATTGGTCCCTTTGACACCAGATCAAGATTGTCAAGTCTGAGATAGATATTGCTGCTAGCTCTAGTTTGATATGGGTGTACATTATTATATCTCGGAAGTTACAAGCAGACTAATAGCAGGATATTCAGCTCTGCAAATAGAGGTCTACAGGATAGCCTGGTTAACGTTTTCATTATAGCTCGTTTTGCTCGTTTTTGTGATAAAAAACGACCTTGTGCTGCCGGCATTGTTTTCCATAGCATTATGCATTCTTGCAAATTTGACTGCATTTTTGCAAAGTAAAAATCTCTCAGACAGTTTCTATCGACATGGTTACAAATACACCATATTTGATATGTTTTATAATTTATTTTCTTTGTCATATTATATATATGGTCATGCCAGCTGAGTGTTTCTTCTAAAGTCAATCCTAGAAATTTCACAGAGATGTTTCGGTTTATGTGTACATCGTTAAGTTTCAAAGATTTTTGATAGATTGTAGTCCTTTGTCTAGTATGAAAGATTACGTATTCTGTTTTCTCGGTATTGAGATACAGTTAATTGGCAGAGAACCATTCCCCAAGTTTCCCTAGTAACAGATTGCAGTCGTCCTCGTTAGTCTGAATGCTTTCGCGGTCTACTAAAAAATCTGAATCATCTGCATACAACGTTATATTGTATTCCGGTAGATATTCCACTAAGTCAGCAATGAACAGTGTGAACAGTACTAGAGCTAGTACACTACCTTGAGTAACGTCTACTTTCAGCTTTACGGTTTCTGAACGATTCCTACTCACTGATCCATCACTATTTGAACTGCTTCAATTTGTACTGAATTACTGAAATTGAATATATAATGTTGTTTGGTGAATTTATACACCGTATTATTCTATGTTTTTCAAACCTCCAGCAGTATTCGGTTGTTATTATTTTATCGCTTATAAAAAAAGCAGTTTTTGACTAAATGCTCTTGACTCGTTTTGTTATGTATCTAATATACTGGATGTCTCATGATGGATTCTAATTTAATTCTATATTTTACAGAAACCGTTTCATTTCAAACTTCAACACTCTATATATCTGAAACGAAGCAACTTCAGACATATGTTTGCAGGAACTTTTTCGACCTAACGAATCACCCTCTGAAGTTTCGTACGGTAGTTAGGAAACATCGTGTGTAAAGGTTAGGGTTCAGGTTATTGGTCATGGTTTCCATACAAAACTGAAGTGATCAGGATTTCCTTCGTTCAATTCGTGAACTAATCTCATTTTGAAAGAATGGAATCTATAGGTCTTCCAAATGTTGTATTATTCAACCCTTCATGCCACTTTGGATTAGTTGCCGTCTTCAATGGAGTGAACTTTATCAAAATTGACATTCTTTTCACTGCTAACTTCTAAGGCAAGCTCGAGTGATAGTTATAATATCAACATTTTTATTGCAATTCACCTCAGCAGACTTCTAATATTTGAAAGACTTACTTGAGAAAATGATGGAAACTGGACACGGTGCAAGGCGACCACCTGAATCCTCTTTCTGTATGCCTCAAGTCGGACATGATGAAACCGTCAGTCCACTGACACTTTTCTGCTCCGGGTCCACCGAGGTAGGAGGGTGGCGGGCTACCATCGTGTACTGCACCTAATCTACAAAAGATATCCAGAGCATATTTAAAGTTGAAGTTGGAAACTCAATTCTAGAGAATATACACTTCAATTTATGAATGTATGATTTTGAAATCTGCACGTGTAGAAATCATACGAGTTGATTTTTTTCTCAAGAAAAATTTGGTGCTTGTTACCTGTCTGAGAATAACAACATGTTGTAAAATAGAATATTGAATTGGAAAAATATTATCTACGAGTACAATTGCAAATTAACTAAAGGTTAAGAAACCAAAATCTTCACAGCTCTATAAACATACCACATTCATGACTTGGTTTGCAGAGCCCCATAAACCCTCTCTGTTTTCTTTACTGGACAAGATGAAAATATTTTGCCTTTGTGCAGGGTAGTTATTGACTTGTCTAACATTTATTTGGTTCTTTCCCTTGGTTTATATCATTTGGACTAGACTGAAACTGATTGATCTCTAGAACTGCCAGTTATGTATCTACTATAGGCTGGCTATGTGGGTGTGGTCGAATTGGTCATTAGAACTTGTTCACCTGTTCATTCAAATACTTGTTCTCTACTTCTTTAATCAACAGAAACAAATTTTTGATAGTATTTCCTTCTTAACTAACTTCTATAAATATCAAAGTTCTATCATCCTTAATATTTCATTCACTGTTCATGTTATTTTAACTCCATCTGTTTTGAATTTGTTAACATAATTTCTATTCAATGGAAGTTCGATCTTGTAACATTCAACAAAAAACATTGTCAACCGTTCCAACAAACCCTGAGATTAACACTGCACAAAACAGGTTTATGCTGAGCTCAGCAGACTACTGGTTGATAATAAGTCACAGAGCAACAACTCAGGGCAACGTCTGAGATGGTAGTGAACTTCCAAAAAAACCTCAACAAAATTTCTCTGGTCTAGATTTTTGACTTTAATGTCCTGGGGCCTGGATGGTAATGAAGTTGCTAACTCCGTTGGAAGGGAGGGTACTGCAAACAATTTTATTGAAGAAGAATCTGTCATTGGCATTGCTTTAGGTCTGGTCAAACACTGAATACCTAGACTGCGTTCCAGACTGGTAGTAAAAAGCCTACCAGCATTGGTGTATTCCCAGGCTTTTTCACATATTTCGAAGAGTGTCACAAAAAATTGTTATGACTACAGCAGGGATGACATATGTTGTCTAATAGTCCTACTGTATTCTGAATCATCATATTATGATACTTGGACCACCGGAGGATCCCTTGTGCCATCTTTGTTTGGTGGTGATAAAACAGCATATACTTTGTACTAGACCCGATACAGCCCTAATCAGGTTTTCATTCTCATACACGGTATTTGAGTTCATCTGCATGACTTGCTATGAATAGCACGTGGTAGTACAGTCGGTCATATGGGGACGACAGGTGACTAACGGAAAAATCGGAGAGAGGGTTGATGGAGCACTGCTTGATCCTATTTAGAATGCAGCATAAACACTGAACAGTTTCAGTTTGTGATAACAAAATTATTATAATTTCATTTTGAAGATGCTTCATGTAGCTTATATTATAGTAAGTGGAAATAAATTATCGAATTTACGAATTATTTCGGATTTTATGGGATGAGGTGGATACCATAAAAAGTAAATTCCTTACAAGTGTCCAACTTCGTGGGCGGCTACGATTATACCACTGAATCCTCCTGTGTCTTCGATGATTGCCACCGAGTTGACCTTTTCTAGCCTCTTGTTGACCACGCACGCTCCTCCAACGTAGGCAAATCCTGATAAAGGACGTCGTGGGATGAATTTTTATAGTTTTATAGCTACAATTGACCCTCCACCATCTGAAAACCTCCACCAATTCTTATGCGGGAAAGTAATAGATATCGAAATTATACTATTGCGGTTATTTACAAGCGTTTGAATTGGTAAAATTGTGTGGAAGTAGTTTTGGGGTGAGGCGTGAACAGTATGAATTCCTTTTGTCGTTGGTTTTGGTGAACATGGATTTTCAATTTCTAGAGATTGTTTTTGAACCTCGTGAAAATGAATTATCATTTGGAAGAAATTTCTCGAACAAAAATATGTGAAGATTCATTTTTACTTGAACTGCTTTTACAAAAAATAAGTTGAGTGTTCTTTTACATGACAATATCTTGCCCTAATAACCCTAATAAAAAATATTCATTGTCGTTTTGATCCCAGTTTGTGATTCCCAGTCAAATAAATATTTTTCAAAAATGTCACACGCGGTCATTCAAGTGGACAGCAATTCTACGTTATACCAACTTAAATCATTTCAATTTTAATCAAAAACAATTCCGTATTACTTTTCTGTTTTTATACTTTTACCATTCATCGTGTTTAAAATAATACAAAGAAATTAAAGTTGAATTTTATTCAAATTGGACATATTCACAATCATGCCACAAGACATACCAAATTACTGTCAAAAATTAAAATCCAAAGAAATTCTGGAATGAAATCGATATACCACGATGGAATCATTATATATAATGCAATTCCAGAGAAAATAAATAAGCTCTATTTCATTACAAAATTTAAATATCAATTGAAAAAAATCTAATTAGTGGAATTTTATAGTTCGTTTTTTTTTTGTTACACGTGACTTTGTTTTCAACATGTAGGTACTTTCTTAATCCAATTTCATATTTGACAGCATTTCGATATTTTTTTTTCAAGATATGTGTTTATTGTAAAATATTGTAAATATGTTTCTGTTATTTCATTATACTATGTACTTAGTTGTAGTCCCCAATTATAAACATTCATTGTTTCTTGGGACAATAAAGTGAATTGCATTGACTTGAACAGGATGAAATGGTATTTTTTTTCGTTTCGTTCTCTTAACCTTACAGAAATTATACTTGGTTTTATAGCTACTAGGATCGTTTTTTGAAAGTCTATCAACGTGTTAAAAATCACACGTTAAAAGGTAAGACCTCGTTAATCCTTAGCTCGCACAAGTTTAGACTTCTGAGGGTTGTCGTTCGTAGAGGTGCGACAGCTGGTTAACGGAAAAACAGAGATAAAATTATACTAAACCAACTTACTTGGAATTCAACTGTTACATTAGTTTGGCACGGTTAAATAGATAATTGGTCAGTACTGAAAATAAATTGATAATGATAATTGATAATCAATTATTGTGTTTCACATTCGAAAATATACTTATCTCAGGAAAATCAGAAAATGAAGACTTAAGTTTTATGTTTGGTAATCTAATGTTCACTTGCTCATTAATTTTGTGAACGAAGTCCCAGTGCATAATGCAAATAAGAATTTTGTTTTGAAACATTATTTTCAAAATGAGCCCGTGAGTCATTAGCTGAATGAGGTTTAGTGGGAAGTTGCCAAGAGAAGATTGGAGTGACCGTGCAGGGTGGTGATGTCAGGTTTATACAGTTCTATTTTTCAGTTTGATAATCTTGTAGAATTAACATGATGACAGCTATCCGTCTTTCCTCAAAGAAAAAATATTTGATCTGAAATAGAACTGGAATAAAGAACGATAAGGTTATTATTATATATTGGATTGGTTTTGGTGCCGCAATTCCTTTCATTATCAACTAACTCAAAAACAAATCAAGATTTATTTCTTGAGTGATAAATTTTTCATCTGAAATGTATCATATTAGGGGCTATTATGTAGGTATGTGAATGTATTCAATAACAATCATAGGCATTCTTTGAAGACCCCATTGTATGTAGAGGATTCTTCTATTTCCTCATTCTTGAGTCTTATAGCTTTTAGATAATAGACTTACTTTCATTGTCTTATGAAAGCTCGACTTTGAAAGCGTGTATACCCTTAACCCGTCGTGTTTTCAATAGCAGTGAAATACTCAGATCTAGCTTAGCTTATAAAAACTCTAATTAATAAACAACAATTTGCAATTTTGAGGTTGATATAAAGAATATCTCACTTGTATGGGTTATGGTTTTTTCATGAAAAAAAGGAAATACTTTTCAAATTTGTGTGTATCAAAAAATTATGAAAATTGAAAAAAAACCTCTGAGTTATGCAGTATGAATAGGATAAAATCTGCAATAATATTGAGCATTTTCCATGAAGTTATGCTTCTTATCGGAGGTGTGCTGAAAAATATTTCGCTGTTTTATTCTGATTCACCAGAAAGGTGGAAAATGAAAGGTTGACAAGTACAGAGTTGGCCAAATCGGACAGTTTTAAATGGAACCTCCTATTTTCAAACTAGATAGATGAAAACTGATGACTGTCTCTTTAGATCAACTTTTATGACAAATTTGATGGTTAAAACCGCATATCGATATCTATCATCGTTTTTGAGTTATAGTATGCTTTTCGAAAATGTGTATTTTTGAAAAGTTGTTCTAAATTTTCTCCTGTCAATTTTTTTTTATTTCTATGAAAACATTTCCAGAGCACTTTTACACGAAGAAGTAAATGGTGTGAAATACTTATTTTTTCAAATCAGAGATATCAATAGTTATTGATGAAAATTTTTTGATGAGACACCCTGTATATTCCTGCAATAGAGATTAAAATACCTTTCGAAAAATGTGGCATGCTAGAGTCATATTTGAGAGCATACTTTGATCAAGTAGGTTTTGGACGACGCGGCGATAAAACGGAAAGAAATTGTTCAGTAGTAGCTCAAATGTTGAGAAAGCTTTTCATAGACGTATCAATGTATACTATATTTCCTACTAATAAATGAAACTTCAACAATAATTATCATATTGATAAAAAACAAACAATGAAATATATTTCTTCAGAGAAGGTGTTCGAAATGTCTACCAGCTTCTACACATAGGCGACACCTTTTCTGAACGTTTTTTGCCGAATTAATTAGTTCAATAGGAGTGAGAGAAGTAAAACTTTGCATCACTGCCGCTTCCAATCCGTGTCTAGAATCAATCGGAAAATCAAAAATAAGATGTTTCAACATTTTCCAGAGGTAGAAACCTATAGACGTTAGGTCCGGTGAGCTGGCCGGCCAACGGTTGGGTCCTTGGTTGGCTAGGCGGGTTGGCTGTCCTTGTTCATCTTTCACTGCCTGAACCACTATGCATGCTGTTTTCGGCGAGTGCATTGGCTTGGGATGTGGGGGTTGAGCAAACCGGCCATCGGATGCCTGTTTCCACGTAACCCCGCTGAATACGGGAATGACAGATTCACTTGTGGTTCTGTTACCTCTAATTGAATAGCATCCCAACGATGGCTTAATCCTAAGGTGTGTGTATCCGTGCCGAGAGGATGAATGACACTGAGCCTATCAGCTGTCTCTACGGAACTTTCGAGATATCGGGCGCCCTCTCGTCGTAGCATCGCCTTGTCATGGTAATGCGGGGCTCTGCCGTGATTGGCCTTCTTTTCCCAGCTACTCGTGGGACTTTTATGGACAGAGTAAACTTAAAACTTATTTCTGACGCTGAGTCTATAGAGGAGATGGATGTCGAGCTTGCGACTCCAACTGACCTCCCTGTAAACTTAGATCAGGAGCGAGTCTACAGAGGAGATGGATGTCGAGTTTACGACTTCAACTGACCTCCCTGTAAATTTAGTTCAGGAGGGAGAGCTGGGGCGTACGCAGAATCTGTCTCAGGTGTGGCAACACACCCCCCATGAGCAGGTTAGCAAACATTTGCGTCGAAGTAATGATTCACCAAAACCACAGGTGAAAAAGCCCTGCAGAGCTGAATCTAAGACATCTTCAGGTGTAGCTGACGTGCAAAAACCCTCATATGGAAAGGTTGTCGTGGGTATCAAGGTAGGAATCTTGCAATTTGACTATCCGACTACCTCATTAACATAGCATATACTTTGTGCCTGCCCCGCTGGGGACCGAATCAGGTTTTTAGAGTTCGGCAGAGCCGTACTCTTACCTTCTGACCTGAAATACCACTCACCATACAAACTAATCGGCTTCGTTAAGAAGCTGGGTTTCTTTGGCCGAGTGTGAAGAGGTGTGAGCCACAATAAACCCTTGCGTGTTGAATATGGTCGAATAGACACACTCACTTTGGACCTAACCTAACCTAACCTTGGTTGGCTATCCAATTATTACCAAAATTTACAGCCAAAAAGTTGGTGACAATTCCAGTGTTTTGAGGCGAAGCCCCGTCTTGTTGACTATATATTTTTTGACCTCCATTAGTGGCAATTCATTAACATTGGGTTCAGTATTTTGCCTTGAAATATCTAAATACCTCTGAGATATGGGATTGTCATTAAAAATGAACGGGCCGATAATTCTACTCTTGGAAACACCTGCCCACATACTTAATCCAAATCTTCCTTGAATTCTCTGCTCCACAATAGAATGAGGATTTTGTTGTTCTCAAGTATAAAATGCTAGCGGTTGAAAATGTCGGCACTGCTCACATAAGCTTCGTCTGTCCAAATACAATTTAATGAAAAATCATGCACTTGATTACAATTTTCCTGGAACCACTGGCAAAAATCCATACAACGTTCAAAATCTCCTGGTTTGAGTTGATGAAATCTTTTGGTCCGGTATGGCTTGAATTTGTGTTTTTTTTAAATACTCCTAACGTTAGTCCTTGGTAGGCCTGTTGATATTTTTAAATTTCGCGTTCACGTTTACAGATTATTATCAACAGCTCCTAAAACGACTATTTTTTGCAAATGGATCACTATCAATTAGGTTGCGAAAATGTCTTTAAAAGGTTGTCTTTTCTCTGGATACCTCTCGTGATACAAATTGCTTGCTGCTTCTGCATTTTCCCTGGTTTGTATAATCAAATCAGACTATCCCATTTTTGATAATTTTCATACTTCATTGCGAATGTGTTCGAAAATTGAACAAAAACCACTAATTGAAGAGCGTATTCATTGTTAAAATCAAAATTTTACAGCTACCAGTAAAGATTTGCATTCTATTTCATCGCCGCATTGTCCGCAGTTGATCAAAGTGCTCATCTACATCAAAAAAACCTAAAAGTTCTGTATTTCAAAAATGACTCTAGAAAACATCAAGTGTGCTATATTTTTGGAAAGGTAATTTCAAGCTCTATTGAAATATACAGGAAAATACAAGGATACAGGAATATACAAGGTGTTTCGTAGAAAAAAATAGATATCCATCAACAACTATTGACATCTCATTTGAAAAAAAAAGTTTTCTCCACATTGAATTCTCCGTTAAAAAGTGCTTTGACAGGAAAAAGTTACAACTTTTCAAAAATACACATTTTCGAAAAACATGTAACTCAGAAATGATATTGACCCACAGTCATGAGTTTTCATCTGTCCAATTTCAAAACAGGAGTTTCCTTTTAAAAGTGTCCAATTTGGCTCACTCTTCACAATTGGAACTTCTGGCTGTTTTCGATATGAAATGAAAGGGTTTGATGTCGGTTACACACGTTATACACTTATTAAGGAGAATATCAAATTATAGTCGTGATGGTGATGAGGTTTGTGGATCTCAGCCATATTTTTTGCTGAGTTTGGCATACAGTGATTTGATTTGATATAAGAACGTGCTTTCAGTGCGGGGAAAAAGAAACTACAGTGTTTAGGAAAGAACAGATAGAAGGGTACGAATTTTCGTGCAGGGTTTGTTATTTCATTGGGTAGTACCTGCCGTGCCGCGATTGCATACGTCATTCGGGTACGATCTTCTGCACATGTCTAGTCTGCAAAAATTAAAAAATATCGCGATAAATTACAAAGTTTCTTGAAATTTGGTGGCCAAATTGGACATTGGGGCATTTCGTGTGTAGATCCTGTGTATATCATATTTATATATTAGTTGATTTTACAAACATATTCTTGCTACATACATATTTTGAAAACCTCTGAGATTATGAACTATTGTTATGATTCTGGATTTGAAGAATATTGTGGAATATCTGAAAATATCATGGAAACTTTCTCTTTGAGTATCAGTTATTGGCAGGTGTAGAAAGGCCGTGAATAAAGCTAGAAGTTGAAATAAATTTTATCGCAAAAGCTTGTAATTTACAAAAAGCCTGTTCAAAATTCCAATTCGAAGAAAACTCCCAGTTGTTTTTATTTTTTTCTCGCTTTATTTTTCGAAGGGTTCGAAAATAAATTGCACTTTCACATTGCCACTTTTTTCCTGCTATATACTGGTGTTTTCAGAGTTGCTATTCGACGTTTCGTTTTCCGGCCACCATCATCAACTTTAATTTTTCTTTTAGGCGCTACATTGGATTCTTTCTGTTTTGATTAGAACCAGATTTTACCGTTTCAATGATGTATCACTTTCGAAAAACTGAAGATATTGAAAAAATTAATTCTCATCATAATAGGCTTTGACTTTGATGTTTCTAAATTTGACTTTCAATTTGTTACACTCAATGACAATGATAAAAATGTATTACAAATACGATAGAAACAGTGTTAGGGCATCGGAAATGTATCTAAAGTTGTACCCCGAAAGACGACAACCACATCGAACTATGTTCAAGTTATTGGATCAAAATCTTGCCGAGTTTTGTTTGTTTGAAAAGCCAATAAAAAAATACGGAGACAGAATGGACCAGGAAACTAAAGAAAATTTGAGATAAGTTATACATTGTCTCCTTTTCAATAAAAATTATTCACTTGCAGATAAACATGAACCCGGGAAAATCTACACGTCAGATTTCCTCCGACATGTATATTTGTCATACAAGTGCTTGGAGACATCTCAAAAAAAGCGGTTTAAAGTATTACAAAATACATATATCTCAAAAATTGCATCCAGGTGAACCCGAAAGGCGATTATAATTTTGTAATTGGTTAATAAGAAGACCTGATTTTCCTGATTTTCTGGACATGTCGTCTCTAAAACAATATCCTAACATTCATCATATTTCCTCAAACCCAGAGTATACAATGCAGTTCCCAATGAACTGCCTATTCAAGAAAAAACTGACAAATTGGATTACAAATCTTCCTAGATCATTCACCCATCAACTGATTTCATTTGTGTATGCCATTTTGATAACAAGTGAATTATTGAAGTAACAAATTAAGAACAGAACAACAACACACAATTAGTATTAATTCAATTTCGAAAATTCACAAACTGACAGCGTGATACCAATTGAATTGTCACTATCGCTAATAGCGACCGACTAGATAGATTAGTTTCGTATTTTCGCATTTATAACGATGTATCTCTGTAGTTGTTCCTAAATAACTGGTTCATTTTGGGCAAAAAACCCAAGATACATTTTTTGTTTAGAATGGAACAGGCTATCTGAAATAAATTTTTAAATAGTAAACAAATAATAAGACAAAAAGTTACATTGGATATAAATTTCAGGGGTTGCGTTTTCCACCCCTTACAACCATGGGGTGAACCAAATAAATATCTGGCTAAGTGTCTTTTTGGTAGTACAAAACGTCAGGTTAAATTCAATATTGTAACTTCTTTAGTGCTTGTGAAAAAAATTGTTATACAAATTTTATGTAACCCCTTTAAGGGGCTGTATGTTAACAAGGGATGCTCCAATGAAATTCATTTACATGAAAGATCCTATCTTTTTTTCGATGAGGAATCACCTCCTTGAATGTTTTATGCTTATTTAGTTACACCCTGTATGTAAATAAAAATTTTTCGATAATTCCTCACGTAACAACATTCAACTTCAAAAGCGGCGTGCGAGTGAGGCTTTAAAATTCACAAGAGTTCTGAGTTCTGATGGCCCCTAATTATGAATATTCAATAATTTTCTTAACTCTCTGTAAGACACATTTTATTTTCGAAAATGTTCCACTATTAAATTGTTGAATTTATTAATTATTTGTACACAGCCGTCGGTATATCTACAAAAACAGAATCGTAACAATAGTATGGCAACGTTTTGAACGGCGATTTTATAGCCGAGAAAATGTTTGTAAACTTGTTAGAAAGTGTCAGGTATTAGTTTATTTCTTCCAGATTTGTAGCATCCCCACACTTGGTGTACTGTGTTCCAAGTTAGTAGTCCCAGCTATCGTATGTACACGCTAATGAAATAAACGAAAAAATAAAATGAAATAAAAAAAAAGGTAAAATAGCAGAAATTTACCAGCTGTTCCCTTGGTGCAGCGCCCGCCTTTTCTACGGCGACACATGTCGTACCTAAATATCAACGAAAGAAATAAATGAATTAATGATTAGATTTCAGTGTATTTTCCATCGCCAAAACCCCGGAGGTTCTGCAGCCGAGCTTCTGATATACTTTTTACAGATATTTATTTCATAATTTTGAACAAGAACGTAAAATCCAATAATTTCTATTTGATACAAAACAAGACTTTACGTGGTTGACAATAAAAACCGTAAATCCCAAGATACAACTGAACTGCGCCAATATGCTTTCCTGATGGGATACATTATCTCAAATTTCAAGTAAATAAATTAGTGAGTGATATTGTGTGTGATTCGTCAGCGAAAAACTATCCAAAGGAACATGTCTGAAGCATTTCAAAACTAACACTATTTTTCTTGAATTTATTGGGATTTTCACTGAAGCTACATTTGTTGAATCTACCTTTCTTTCAGATCCAAAATAAATACATCTATCATGTTGTGATGCACTGTTTGGAACCTTTGGTGTAGTAATGAATATTACTGGAGTTTCTTCCCAAGACCAAATCGTTATTTTTAACACCTCGACACGTATTTCGATCACCAAGTGATCATCTTCAAGAGGAAGATCAAACTAATCATACTTACAAAGCTATCCTTATACCATAGATACCTGTTCTAAGTACCTGCGTCTTGAATTAATTTTACAATTTGCCTTATCTACTTGTCTTAAATTAATTTACGAAATTGAATGTAAGGACTGCGATGCAAAATATTATGGACAGACAAAAAAATCTATTAAAATAAGATATAAGGAACAATTAGCACACTTTTAAAATATGGAAGACCTGAAAAATCAGCAGTCGCCATCATATTTTGCAACAAAACCATTCTATAGACTTATGTTCATTAAGATCAGTTAGAGAAGTTAACAGCAACAGGCAACTAGATAATATTATGAATAAGGATGGTGGACCAATATAATATTCATTAGATTTATCTGACTATCGTAAAATTAATTTAAAACAAGTGAATACGGCAAATTGTAAAATTGATTTAAGACACTCACAGGTATCTATGGTATAGATAAGGATAGCTTTGTAAGTATAAATCAGTTTGATTTTCCTCTTGAAAATGATCACTTGGTGATCGAAACACGTGTCGAGGTGTTAAAGTACCAGTTTAGTGTTGGGAAAAAACTTCAGTAATATAAATCTAATATCAGTAATTGCATTCAACAAATTTCCACATCACACTATTTCTTATCACCACGAATGCCTATTGTTATATGTATCTGAAGTTCGGAAATGTCGAGTTATTTGGGCAAAAGTTTGAATCAGTAACTATTTTGCTTATTTTTCCTTGAAATATAGGTGGTAAATTATTAAATTTTTCATGAAATAGGCGAGCTACTTCCTGTTGTGTTCGGGTTTTATCTCCGTAACCAATCATTTGTAAAACTGTTATTTCATGCATGTCCATTAATCTAACCATTTGTCAGAGTTGAAGTTAACGAACTTCAAACTCAAATTAAACATACAAAACAAGTTGACAAGGCGTTTTAAACTAACGTTGCCACGTGAATTATTTACAGTTTTTAAAGGATACCATCTAAAAAGAACATTGCTATGGTTTTTGCTCACTTTCTTATTATCAATACCTCAACATGAAATAACTTTTCAGTATATTGCAATAAGTTTTGACTGTATTTTATCGAATTTTGGTAACCACATTATTTTAGTTTATTTTATCCCAATTGTTGCAATGAACTTGAAAGCGATAACATTTTTGAATAGAGAATGAAGAGACACTTCAAATGATATATTTCAAGCCCATACTTCTCATTTAAAAAATTGGGGGTTGTAACTGTCATTCGACGGGGGTTGAAGGTGGGGGTAGCATTTTTCCGTTGAAGTATGTCAAATTATAATTTAAATTTGACGTGTTTCGGAATTTTGTTAAAATATGTACCGTAACCGAAATAATGAATTTATTCCATTTGGCTTTTATACACTGTATAAAATGTTTTTAATTTTTCATTTGTATTGGTTCTTTTGAAGATTTCAAATCATTTTATATAATATTAGACAATAGAAGTAAGAACTAGTGAAATGCGAAATAAAATATTCCATAGTATCTGCCAATACTACCCCTATGGGGTTGGTATTATTATCCTTTTCATTGTAGGTATACCTGCATCTGGTTCTGAAAATTATCATTGAGGGCAACAACAATTTTTAAAAGAAACAGCTTCATAGGTAAACTAATATTAACTGTTGCTGCAAAAAGGCAACATAATGATTCATAATGAAGTGAAATTAAATAATTTCTGCACTAGTAGCATACGTTAGCATTTCGCGCATTCTAAATTGTTTAAATATTTATCTTTTACTCTTTGGAGATCAATTATACCTAAATATTATTCAATCTCAACAACTGTCGAAACCCTTTAAATAAAAAATCAGTTTGCAAATGGCACAATTTACTCTTTATCAACAAATAGGTCGTTGTTTGTAAGTTTTTTTTTTTGCAAGATGGAGAAAATTTAATTGCTATCTCGGAAGCTCTAAACAAAATAAACAACGTGTGTGAAATTAATAATTGGAGATTAAAGTCTTTATAAAATATTGTCAAAAAAACAATTTTCTATACTCTGTATATCAAAGTTATCAGAGCTAAAATATATGAATAAAAATCTTTTGTCTTACGATGTTCCAGATTTTTCGACATCACTTCTTTGTAGCCGAAAATTTTAACATGTTTATGTCATTTTACTAACTCTAGTTAGTATTTTCAATTCAATTTTCACCACAACGTATACAACTAAGAATTTGAATTGGATAGGATACGTACTATATCATTATTCGCGTTTTTTACAATTCTAAGACTCGCTTATTGAAATATAAAACAAACTTTGATTTGTCAGACTTGACTGACTTTTCAATTTTTTCACATTTCGATTTATTACATCGATAATAATAACATATGGACAAACGAGCACACTTATTATTTTATTATTTGAGTTATTATCTTCACTACTGTTAGAATTACTAATTTCATTACCTTTTCCATATAATCATCTATGAATTTCAAAACAGTACAAGAAATAACTTGATTTGAAGCTAGTCAATGAACCTTTATGAAATAATAGTTTACAACGGTATACCCGTTGCAACAAAATGAACTCTACCTATGCCAATTTCAAAAATGAACTAGAAGAATATATTAATTTGGTCAACTACATTTTCTGAATAATTTCATTTTCGAGTTAGTAATACGAACGTTTACATACATTCTAAAATACAGAGAACCTTCGAACCTTGAGCTGAATACTGTTTGTTAAAGGTAACTTCGTCCTACTTTGAATAAGTGGTCATAAACTCTAGATCAGAACCATTTAATTGAACTGTAATGCCTAAATGTTGGACTAACATTTGAAAGTTTTCTATATTCATAAAAATATTTATTAGGGATACCTACGTACTTTGTTATGGCAACTGCGATGTCATAAACTGGAAGTCTTCGTTCTCTAAATAAATATTTTCCCATATCAGTTAAAGCTGCAGCAGAATCTATGGCATCCCTGCCAACCCTGTTTCGTTCGAGATAAGGAGTGGCGTCTCTACCCTGAAAAATACAATACACTCATGTAAGAATCACAATGTACTTTAAAAAAAGTAGTGCTAAGTCTGAGATGGTCTTTCTATTTTTTCATTTATTTATTAGTAAGTTTATTACATCAAGGTATGAACTCATTTCTTTATCTAAAAAACGATCATGTCGGAAAATTTATTTGAAATATAGGTTGTTTGTAATAGGGACAAGTTTCGATCCCAAAACCCCCCAAATTGAACACTGATCTAATGTCTAATGTGACGTTTAATGATGTCTCTTATAAGAAGGCAGTTGAGCTGTTTTTCAAAATTATTAGTTTTCCAAAGAGAGGCAAAGATGAACAGAAAAACCTTCTACGAAGACATCGACTTCATATTACCTGTGATACACTTCTTCCTATTCATTTAGAGAAGTATAATTACTTGAAAGACCTGACAAAGTTCTTCACCGCTATATTTATTTTGATTACGAGGAAGAGGATGAGTAATCTAGTACCTTTTTATTACCAGTTTGTATAGTCGAAGTTAACGATATTGTACACACTTGAAGTTGGCGGCACTCTCAAAGGTCAAAAAAACCAATATTTGGAAATGAACCGGCTGCGACCTAGTCCACGTGAACTGTAGAATTGGCGGTTCGTAATGGATGATTTTTACCAACCGATCTTTATGATTGGCTGAAGAGTCAAATCAAATTTGAAGTCATGTTACGGTGACGAATAGAAATCGGGGAACGCGGGAACGGTTATCGCCGTCGAGTCATCAATGATCAGTTCAGGAACTGATCGCGATTTGAGTGCTGAAATTTGGTATTGGTGCAGTTATAAATTTTTTTTATCTGTTTAAAATGTTGCGTACTTGGACAAGTACTAATAGTAATAACGAGTGTGATAACAACGCAGACTTTTTCCAGTGTAGTGATTTCAATAGCGATGATGAACAATGCGAAAAAGAGATACCATTGAATAAGATTTGGATGCATTTGAATATTGAAACACAGAGAGTATGTTTCAATGTAAACTACTCAAAATGAATATAGAGACACATCCTTAAAATTCAATAAGTAAAAAAATATGTATTATTTCACGATAAAAACTTCTGGTGTGTACTCCATACTAATTCTTATCATATTACATTCGGTTGTTGTTTACTTTTTTACTTCTTTTCGTACTTTTAGCTACAAAATCATTAATATGAAAAATTCTGTATTTAGTTTCACTTTACTTTAGTTCGTGATAGATATTAAATTTCAAAATTTAAACAATGAATGTTGATATATTGGGTAGGAGGATACGTAGGGTGTACCTCAATGAATTTCAAGTTGCTAGAGCAGTGGAATTGATTGAAGTAGGGTATTCAAGGCGTCGTGTAGCCCAAATGCTTAATGTGAGTCATTCTGCGGTTTCCAGAGCTTGGAATCGCTACCAAATTCACGGCATAGTAAAAAGAGCCCCTTATCCCAATCGACAAAGGGCAACAACCCGCAGAGATCTTTTGTTACGACTTTGGGCAAATAGGGGTCACACCGATTCTGCTAGAACATTGCAAAATCGCCTTGTAGAAGCTACGGGAACGCGAATTTCCAACCAAACGATACGAAACCGACTTCACGAAGTACAACTCCATGCAAGACGACCTGCTAGAGCCCCTAGATTAACTCCAGCTCATCGAGGAAATCATTGAAACTTTTGTCAAGAGCATCGTAATTGGAATTTAGAGCAGTGGGCCAATGTGTTGTTTACAATTGTTATGTATACAGTTTACAATTTACAATTTCATCAGTTCCATTGTCTAATATAATATAAATTGATTTGAAATCCCTGAAAAAAATAAAAGATTATCCGAAAATATCAATTTTATTAAAACAAAAAACTGAAATTACAAGGAAATAAACATACAAGCTACAACCAGAAACCAAAATTGTGAAATATTAATCTCTTTATTCATTTTGAGTATTTTATATAAGAATTTACATCTCAAGTTTGGTTTCGAGGGAAACAAACTTTCACAAGCAACATCAGAATTGACCAAAACTCGTTTCTCAACTGTGCGTAAAATAGTCAAAAACAAACCTTATGAACGTAAGACGCGATGTGATTACCAAAACATTCAGATGTTCATCAAAAAATATATACGACTGTAATGCAATGAGCTGCTGTGACAAAACACTTCAGAATTGGATAAAGAAACTAGGATTCAGATTTAAAATAATAAACAAACATCAAAATACTCAGAACAAATAACTAAATATAGACAAGAACGGCAAATTTTCTATTTGGACGAAACTTGGCTTGACACTAACGACGCAGTTACGAAAGGGTGGACTCATGGTTCAAGAATGTGTACGCCTAACATGCCTGCAAATAAAGGATCGCGATTAATCATTGTGCATTGCGGAGGAAGTAAAGGATGGATTCCGAATTATTTGAAGTTATGTGGAAAAAACTTGAGAACTGCAATGTTGACCATCGTAAGAACATGGAAGATAATATTTTCGAGGAATGGTTTGAAAACACATTGATCCCAAATTTGGATGCGAATAGTGTAATAAATAGTTCTTGACAACGCGACAGCTCATCAAAGTACCGAATAAAAATTCGCTTACTTTGAACTATACCTATCTTCAATATAGGTATTTTATTGTGTTAATTTTATCAAGACTTCAGTTTCTTTTCGTACTTATGGACTTTTTGGACGACAAACATATATTATTGAATTTACATATCTGCAAATCAACCAAAATATTTGACTAACATGATACTTTGGTTTTCCTTGAGTATAGGATGGTTTTTTAATGTTTTCAATCATGAAAATTATCCAGAAAGAATCATGTGAAAGATGTGGAAACACCTTTCCATATTGCTAGTATATTTCAGATTTGGAGGATGGCTTGTAAAGATGCAGTATTGAAATTTCTAGAAGACCACAATCGGCCGTTTTCAAACAACGACATTCAAAGCAGTGTACAGGGCGGGTTCGGCAAATCCGCTATTCAGAAAGCATTAGACAGTTTAGTTGACGAAAACAAGGTCAAAGAAAAAGTATATGGAAAGCAGAAGGTATAACTTTCAGCAAAATCATGATATCATGAGTGAATTGTATAACTTACTGACAACAAAACAATTGATTTCGAATATTTAGACTCCTCGAATTGTCACCCCCACTTCCTAAGAATAAAATATTGTTTTTCTTTATCGGCAATAAACTATCTTCTATGTATATTTGGAACTTTGTCTAAGATGTCCAAGATGGATGTACCTAAGTTTTATTTGGAACTTTATATTTTTGTTTCTTTTTTGCAGCAAATTATCAGGTTATAATAGAAAGATTCACCTTTTAACATCTTTATGAACATTTTTATTACGAGAGTTAAAATAAAACTATAATAAAATTGCAGTTAAAACTATAGAAGACGAAAAATATCCCAAAAAATCAACAAAATTGCATTTCATGAAAGTGAATTTTTTAAATAATTTGAACAATGTTATCCCACTGTGATTATTATATTCATAAACAAACGGATTCACCATCAGGGCATTGGAAGACCTTGTGATTATAAGGACTAACTTCCAACTTAGTCACGGGTGCGACTATAACAACCTGCGTGACATCTGGGTCCAAGATAAATCAAACAAGAAAGATGGATATTTAATGAACATGGTATAGTCAATTTTTGGACAAGCACTCATATGAAAGTGGGCAAACCGCAGACACGTGTTTCTGGCTATTTAGCCTTCGTCAGTACGGTTAAGCCAAGTATTGTTCAAATTTTTAATCCTTTTCTGTATTGTGTTAATTTTATCAAGACTTCAGTTTCTTTTCGTACTTATGGACTTTTTGGACGACAGACATAAATATATTGCTGAATTTACATATCTATATTTTTTTCTTGTGTAGTTGCTGGATCTGCAAATCAATCAAAATATTTGATTAACATGATACTTTGGTTTTCCTTGAATACAGGATGGTTTTTCAATGTTTTCAATCATGAAAATTATCCAGAAAGAATCATGTCAAAGATGTGGTAATACCTTTCCATTTTGCTACATTACAATTATACTCTAAATAGATGAGTAGTATATTCCTAATTTGATTTCAATTTAAGAGCCACCACATATATATTTCGAACGGTGTATTTTCTACAATTCAATTCATTATACATTGCAGGTTTATTGAGTATTTCAATTTATATTTCAGATTTGGAGGATGGCTTGTAAAGATGCAGTATTGAAATTTCTAGAAGACCACAATCGGCCGTTTTCAAACAACGACATTCAAGGCAGCGTACCGGGCGGATTCTGCAAATCCGCTGTTCAGAAAGCATTAGACAGTTTAATTGACGAAAACAAGGTCAAGGAAAAAGTATATGGAAAGCAGAAGGTATAACTTTCAGCAAAATCATGATATCATGAGTGACTTGTATAACTTACTGACAACAAAACAACTGATTTTGAATATTTAGACTCCTGGAATTTCAGTGCAGGGACTCAGAAAAATGATTAACAAATAAAACATTCAGCTTGGAATATTTTCTTATGAAACTCTCGAATTGCAAAGATGTTATCTCAAATCTCCGATAATGTGTTTCTCTCGTAGGTATACTGCATCCTTCAGAATAATGACTCTTCTGGTAACCAGTTGCGAGAAGATTTGCTCGAAATGGATAGAAAAATTAACGAAACCACCATAGAATTGAAAGAAATTTCCGATCAACTCAAGATAAAGTCTCAGCTTGTGGCCCAATTGAAAGGAAAAATCAGTCTGGAAGATGCCATCGATCAAAAAATCAGACTTGACAAAGAACTTGAAGACGTCAAACAACAGTTGTCGAGATTTTCTGAAGTAGAGTTGATTTGCCCGAAGAAAAAGTTGGCGACGGAAAATGAATACGAAAAGTATTTGAAAGTGTATAAGCAACGGAAACGCATGTGTCTTGATATGGTCGATTCAATCCTGGAAAATTATCCTAAGACGAAGAAACATTTGTACGAGGATATAGGTTTGGAGACTGATGAAGATGCAGGTTTCTCTATCAATGAATAGTAATAGTTTAAAATTGTACTTTTATTTCAATTCTAATAAATTATCATGTTGTTTTAGCAAATTGATATGTCACCATTTATTTTTCGAAATCAAACGTGTGTACTGGTCTACATAACATTTTTCTGGGAATCAGAAATACAGTGATAGATAGATAGATATTTTATTTGACCACATTATGCATACACATTTGTAGCAAGTCGTACATAATACACAATTTGAAGTTACACAAATAAAAATATACATATATAACACATATACATACACATATAGACATATATACACATATACATAAATATGTAATAGATGAGTTACAAATACAGATAAAATAACAATTAGACGTCATTGAGACATATTAGGTTGCAATGCTTAGATGATAAGAAGAAAAAAATGTTATATAATATATACCTTTTCATCGGAGGGGGAAGCGGCTATATTGGTCCTCTAGTCTTAATAGAATAATACGTTCGCCACCTTGCTGCAACTGCACGTCCAGTAGGATGTTCAGTTCCTCAGTTTCGTTTTTGTAGCCTGTTAAGAATGGCGCGTTTCGCCATATTTTTTATCAAACTAATCAATACAGTTTATTGTATGATTTTCACTAGAAGGGTTTTACAAAAACCGCGACACGTGTTTCGCTATACAACAGCTTCTTCAAGCATAAACTATTTTTTATTGATGTGGTCATGCTTATCGGCCAATGATTGTTAGGGAATGTGGGGTTCCGTTGAGTTCGGGAATCATAATGACCGAATATGAGAAGTGTTGCAGTCAAAGTATAGCGTTGATATTGTTCGACATCTCTGCTACTCCTTTGTCGAATAGGAGTTTAGTGCCAGGTTTGGTATTTGGTATGGAAATGTCGAGTATTTCAAGTAGTACATGGTTTACGAAGTGCCACATGTTTTTCCTGTTCAAAAAAATATTTGATTTTGATGTACTCATTTTTCATCTATATTTCCATTCTCAATTAATTTCACTCTTCCTAGCGACTCAAATACTTCAATACTGCAATATGCAAGGTGTAACTTATCAAATTGAAAAAAGAAACAATTTTAAAAAGTATTCAAATTTCGTATGACTCCAACTTTCAAGTTCTCTACGATAATTTTCAATACTGAAGAATTTAATAAGTCGAATGTGAAATTAAATTCATCAGACTTGTTTCCAATCTATTATCATAAGCTCAATTGAAATATATTATCTACATTTGGAGATATCCCCTGGGATATCTGGGAGTTTTGAGAAACAAAATTCTATGTATTGTCACAACCATAACTAGTTTTGAAAGTGTCTGTTGTCAACTTACTCTACTGATGATTATACCAGCAATAGATATTCTGATCTTCGGTCCTTTCAGGAGTTTGTATCTCATATCAACACCATTCCAGAAAGATACGAAATACCTCTTGATTTGTAGATTGTCACCTCCATGAAGCCGGTATCCATCATAATCCACGATAACTAAAATTTCAGGATAAATTGTATAGGGAGCTTCTCGTTTGTTTCTCGTATTAGGTTTATTAGACGTACTCCTCTTGAATCGCTTCGATAGGTGGTCAGGTTCCATGAGAGCTGAAAAAAGATAAATGTTGAGAGAAAGCTTTTATGGAATCATTGATAAAAATAAGAATTATAATGATAATGATGATTCTGCCATCATACAGCAAGCCGCAAACCGGACAAATGCAGAAGGTAATTTTCGGCTCATTGCGTCTGGTAAGGGAACATGATTCTCGGACCCAATGATCACTTACCCCACGGTATGGAGAATGATCAATGGTTGATAATGCTGGCGCGCCCTTTCGACAGGGTCGGAGATTTGGAGGCAGGGACCAACCAGCTTACTCTTAGGGAAATAAAAATGAAAATAACAATAATGATTAGACCAAATGGTCTAAGAGTCATGTGCCTCCACGATGTGGAGAGTAGTCACTGGTTGATGATGCTGGCGCGCCCTCTCGGATGTATCGGGGCTTCTGGCATATGACCCAACCAGCGCAACCCTACGATAATAATAAAAGTAACCACCTACATCACTTTTACGGTATTAATGTGGCATCGGTATGACCCTACGCTCCAGGGAATATTGCATCCCTTGTAGGGAATGAGAAGTGACAAATTTATTGAACCTATTTATTTCCCACCCTCAGAATCATACTAGCTAATGAACCTGGTGTAGTTCTTTTCGACCATCAAAATGAGAAAATATTCGTCGTGAACTTTTTAGCTTCGGGTGAGACAAATATCGCCTGAAAAGAAGAGAAAAAACGCATCAAATATCGCGTTTTTCTCTTCGAACTCCACAGGCTCAATCCAAACCACTCAAGATTATGACGCCTGTGCAAGTTGACCTTTATGTTGACCTGAATTTTCCCATCGTCACAGACGCTCCGGAAATAATAATAATAATAGACTCTTTTCATCACAAGAAATAAAGGATATCTTATTTGTATATACATTACTTTAATTGAATATAACCTTATGACGAATGGGCGAAGTGTCAGCTAAAGCTGTTTTTCAACTCGACCTTGAGAGTAAATAAATATATAAAAAAACTGAATATATGAAAATAATATTGCTAATGTCATATTTACCAAAATGCATGATTATTACAAAATGATTTATTTGAAAAGAAAAATAAATTACATTATGTTATCATTCTCGGCGGAAGAATGGCCAGATGTTATATTTCATACTGCACGAAAGTATTTACAAAAAAAAATACAATAGCATATTGGTCAAACATATTGAACATAAATAGGTAGGTTGGCATTTAATAATAATGTTATACAGATAGTAAAAGAAGCTTCGTGGAAATAGAACAGTAGAGTGTTCAAGTACAAGAAGTAGATTGTATTTTTTGATATTCACTTGATTCAGGCAACGCATTGTTATTACCCTTTTGAGTAGATACTTGCAATGACCAGTAATCAAAACTTTGTGGATGAGAGTGAGCCATCTGGAATCTGCAAACTTGCCACTAATGTGATTAAATTTTCGAATTCCATATGCTTATCCAATACAAGAATTCTGAATTCGTTGCAAACGAGTAGAATCAGCCTGAAGTAATGCAGGATCATATACACTATCGCAATATGATATTCTTGACATTACCAGAGTCTCACATAACTCCAGTTTAAGTTAAGTGGGTAGGATACTCCGATTGGGGTATAGCTCTCGTAGTACATTGTATGAGGTTTGACAAAAGTGACTTAATATGTTTAGTGAACCTAAGGTTAGAATCGATCAACTTCTGAGAGTTGTCGTTCGTATGGGGGTGGCAGCTGATTAACGGAAAAACAGATTTTAAACAGATTTTTTAAACAGATCCATAATCCTAAATTTTTAGAGACTTCAACGACTTCGAGCGCAGTTCCAGATAAGTTTATGTTGAAGTTATCGCATATTTGCTCACGCTTTGACTTGGGGCCAAAAAGCTTTGTAATTGATTTTGATGGACTGAATTTGAGGTTATGCGCTGTAGAGATGTCAAATAAGAATTGAAGATCGTTGTAGATGTTACTGAGGGTCTGAGTGATATTTCAAGCTGAAAAAGCTGTATATATTTGCATAGTAGTGGATTGTACAAGTTTCCACACTTTGGTAAAAATCTGCTATATAGAGTGAGAATGGTAGGGGTCGGAGAATTGAACCTTGTGGAACTCCATAAGGTACTGGTCTGGCATCAGATATAGAAGTTCCAATAATAACTGACTGGGTTCTTGATATGAGTTAGTCTTCAATCAGCAAATCCCTAGTGAAATAGCTTTCTGTATAGTAAATTATGTTCAGTTGTATCGAACGCTTTACTACAATCAAGTAGTGTAAGACAGTTAATCAGTATCAAAATAGTGTCATCACAAAACGATGGAACGGAAGAGACATTTGCATTTTCAACTTTCATTTTCAAAATAAACAAACGACATGGTTGGGATTCACTAATTTTTATATAATCCTCATGAATGACGTGTGACATATCGTTTCAATATACGCTTGAAGTTCGTACATTGATTAGTCAATGATCAATCCCCAGACGAGTACAAATGATTTTTCCATTTTTGTCCGGTCTAGGAAAGATATTGTCTTCAGAACATTATATTCAGAGTCCAGGCGACAAAAAATGATGTATCTTTTGTTTGAAGGTGAAGATTGTGTATTTCATCAGTTCGAACTTCCATTGTCTGATATAAGATTAACCGAAAATAACAATTTTATTAAACAAAAAAAACTGAAATTACAAAGAAATAACATACAAGCAACAACCAAAAAAAACTAGAACTAGACACTTTCTTGAAGCACATCAACAACGTAAGTCCTTCCATCACTTTCACAATGGAGAAGGAAGTCCACAACGAATTGCCATTCTTCGACGTATTGGGGAAGACTGACACTAAATGGGAAACATCTGTATATCGAAAACCCACTCACACAGGACAGTATCTGAACCAAAAATCCAACCACCATCAATCGACTAAGAGAAGAATCATCATCAAGACTCTACTAGACCGTGCTTTCGGGCTCTGTTATACAAAGGAAGGTCTCGAAAAGGAACTAGGCATCATCAAAAATGACCTTCAACGGAATGGTTACTCCAGAGTGACGGTAGAACAGGCTTTAGCTAGAAGACAGCAAGAGCTCCACAAGGAAGAGGAGCCGCCACAACCAGTTCTTGTACTTCACTACATCACAGGATTATCGGAAAGGATAAGAAGGATTGGGTCCAAGTATAACATCAGAACCTGCTTCAAATCTGGAAACACTATCCGTAACAGCCTTACGATTCCAAGAATTGCATTTACGGGATACCCTGCGAGTGCGGATAATCATACAAAGGTGAAACTAAGAGGCCATTAAAAGTTCGCATTGCTGAGCACAAGAAACGCACACAGCGAAGAGAAATCAGCAAATCCGGAATAGCAGAGCATGTTTGGACTTATCAACATAACATCAAGCGGGCTCAAGCTGAAATTATCCACAAAGAGGAACACTGGTTCAGGAGAAAATTCAAAGAAGCTGCGTATATGTTGTCCAATAACGCATTTAGTCACGCTAGCTTAGAGATACGTAACATATGGAAACCTCTAGTCAATCATACATCGGTGAAACTAAGAGGCCATTGAAAATTCGCATTGCTGAGCACAAAAAACACACACAGCAAGGAGAAACCATCAAATCTTCTAATCAAGCGAAAAACGACCAACAGCCGCCAAACGGTCATCTCCCGCTAAAACCAATGAAGCGGAGAGAGGGAAGAGGGGATAGGTGAAAGCACTTGAATGACATATAATTAGTCAGATCTCGGAGGAATAAGTCCAGTTATCACCCGAAGACGATTGTGGATACTAACAATCGAAACGTCGTGACGTAACTTGGTTTGGAATCTTTTAATTTTCATTTTTTGTTAATAATAATTTTTATTTTTTCAGCTTTCATTAATATTTCAATTTTTATTTGTTTGTTTGTTGTTGTATGTTATTTCTTTGTAATTTCAGTTTTTTGTTTAATAAAATTGTTATTTTCGGTTAATCTTCTTAATTTTTTTTCAGGAATTTCAAATCAATTTATATTATATCAGACAATGGAAGTCCGAACTGATGAAATAAATGATGTATCTAATATCATATAGTGAAATCATATAGTGAAAGTGAGTTCATGCTAATCCACATTTCACCATACTGTGAGAGGCTGTATTTTCAGAACGCAAAAACGTAATTTGTCACCGGAAAACAAATTTAATTTGAATTAACATAGAAAATTACTTCTGGAGTGCTACTGATAAAGTTAAAGTGAAGGGTGGTGATTCCTTTGCTCGCATCAAACTTTGAGTATGGCAATGACGGCTGTTATTTATCTGTCATAATTTATTGTTTTATTGTTAGCAATATTTGTCTGTGCATAACTATACAGTTTTAAATAATGAAGGTAATTTCTTTAAGTTCCAACAGAAGTCCCCTTTGACAGAAGCTAACCTGCTACTACACTTCCCTTGAATTTAATCAATGTTTCAGCGACTTTCGATAAAGCAGAAATAATGGGAATTGGTCCATAGTGACAGTTGTCTATGCTTCAATTTTCATTTCCAATTTCTATCGACTTCTTCCATTTTTTCTTCGACGGATTATTTCAAAAACATTGATGACATTCTTCATTTTTAGAAATTTTCTGTTTCGAAAAACTCTGTGGCAGAGTAGTTTTGCAATTCTAGTAAAATCAGTCGATACTGAAACTAATGAATGAAATAGATTTATGGTAAAGTAATGTCGCAAAGTTATAGCATTTTCAACCTCCGTGAGGACTGAAATATAGTCTACGCAACTAATTTAGCATTATGCGCTGTAGTCTCACATAAAACTCTCACCTCTGGTTTAACCGCAATACACTGCCATTCGGCGCATATATTTTATTGCCATTTATGGATTTGTTTATGCATGTGGCCTGGAGGACCAGATCTTACCTGTGGTCTGATTTGTTTCGGAATCAAGCAGTACAATTTTTTCATCGAATTAATTTTATAAAGAGAAGAAGTCTCATTCATTACAATTATGTAAATGAAGAAAAAATGGCAGAAGAATTCATTACAGGTATTGAATCTGAAATTATCCCCATCAACATTTTTCATTCCTTCATAACAACCAACACATCGACAACGATCTCTGGATACATGAACTTCATCTATTACATGATGTCATAATGTTTATTTTGGCACTGTAAGGAATAACACCGCTACTATAATCGTCAGAAAGATTTCAATGATTTGCTCTTTGAATTCAGTTACAATTTTTTCACCTATTCGTTTTGAAAAGAATATAAGCATGTACTAGTGTTGAACCTAATAACAATTTGAATGCGAATTTACTAAAGCAGTGTTCGTTTATAGCAGTATAGTTTATAAACTATAAATATTTTTGATTTGAAAAAAAAGATCCTTGAAGAGGAGAAATTTACTAATAAAAAGTTCCGACTCCCGAAACGGTATCTCCATTATAGTACGTAGTGTTTCATAGTGGATATAAGAATATTGGCATTTACGTTTAGGTGCATTATCATTGTTTTAGTTTCTCAATTCATGTGTACCATTTTCAAGAGAGATACAATGTAGTATCTCTACATTTGTGATAACTGTCCAAAACAGTTTACTTCATCTCCTGATGACGTCAAATTGATTGATGAAACGTGCGTCAGGAAGCGTATTGTATGGTTCTGGTTTTTGGTAAAAGTGCTTGTTTTGGAGCCAGATGTGATATCACAAATTATGATAAATCATAATTTGTGATATGATAAGTCATTTAATCATTCAATAAATCATTTCTTTTTCGAAATTATGCTAAACTTTATTTCAGCTCAATGATAAGATTGGAACCTTTGGTGTGAAAGTTGAATAACTTTTTTCGAGATAAATTGCCCTAACACCAAACTGATATTTTTGTACTCGACGCGCGTTTCGCCAACAAAGTTAGCATCCTCAGAAGAAAATTGATGAAAATTGATGTATCATTGATCAATTTTCTTCTCCTGAGAATGGTGAAAATTGATGTATCATTGATCAATTTTCTTCTCCTGAGAATGGTAACTTTGTTGGCGAAACGCGCGTCGAGTGCAAAAATATCAGTTTGGTGTTAGGGCAATTGATCTCGAAAAAAGTTATTCAATTTATTTCGGCTGGTTTAATATTGTTTATATCAATTTGCATTTACATTGTTCCTAGCCTTCACTTTTATTTTTAAATACTCTCTTTTAACTACTGATTGTAACAATTGAATAGAACTGGCCGATACTTCAAGCATAACAGTTATGCTTGAAGAAGCTATTGTATAGCGAAACACGTGTCGCGGTTTTTGTAAAACCCTTATAGTGAAAATCATAGAATAAACTCTATTTATTTGTTTTTTTACTGATTGTAACGTTGAGTTTTGCTATATCGATTAATTTTTTGACTGTTTTTTCTTACATATACCTAAATGATTTTATGAATGAATCAAATAAAAAATACTATAGAAAGACAATAAAAAACAAACTCGAGTTGTGGAATGAATATTACCGTAATCACTCATATTGTCTTCCTCGTCCTGTATCCTCTTGAACACGATATGGTGATGGATGTTTTTGTTCCTTCTGATTGGTAAACCTGTATCTATCGCCACTTCAGCACTCAGTTCGCCGTCTTGATCTAGAAACATCTCGTCGTCGTTGATTGAATCGATATCGGTTTCGTTTTTGTTTTTTGATCGAATCACTGAACCGCGCAGGCGTGATGGCAGTGGTCTTATGACTAGTTGGGATCCTATACTGCCTTCCTGTAAAAAAACTCGGTTTAATACTACACTAATTGCATATACATATTGGAATGTACCAAAAAGGATATCGTTGTTTATTATTTATTTACCTTCCACTATCCAAAATAAAATCAATAATAATAATTGTTACGCAATTCCACTATTCTTCTGCTTTCCATAACTGCTTGACGTTTGTTTATCATTTTAAATCTAAATCCTAGTTTCTTTATCCAATTCTGGAGAGTTTTGTCACAGCAGCTCAAGTTATGGCTGGAAGTATTCATTTTCTTCCTTATGATTTCAGTTGTAGGAATCTCATTGCTTTTGTAACAATCGTATATTGTTTTTCCAATGATTTTATCAGATGAACATCTGAAGGTTTTGGTAATTCTTATCACATCGCGTCTTGCGTTCCTAAGGTTTGTTTTTGACTATTTTACGTACAGTTGAGAAAGTAATTTCTGTCAAATCTGGCGTTTCTTGTAATAATTTGTTTCCCCCAAAACCAAACTTGAGATATAGGTTCTTATTTACATTGAAACATAAAACATACTCTCTGTGTTTTAATATTCAAATGCATTCGAATCCTATTCACTAGTACCTCTTTTTCGCATTGTTCACCATCGCTGTTGGAATCACTACATTGGAAAAAGTTTGCGTTGTTATCACACTCGTTATTACTATTAGCACTTGTTCAAGGACGCCACATTTTAAACAGATAACAAAAATTTTAAATACTTATTATTGCACCAATACCAAATTTCAACACTCAAATGGCGATCAGTTCCTGAACAGAACATTGATAAGACGACGGCGATAACCATCCCTGCATTTCCCGATTTCTATTCGTCACCGTAACATGACTTCAAATTTAATTTTATGACTCTTCAGCCCATCTTAAAACTCGGTTAGTGAAAATTATCCAATACGAACCACCAATTCTACAGTCCACGTGGATTAATTTGCAGCCGGTTCATTGGTTTTTTTGGCCTTTGAAATCCGGTAACTTCAAGCGTGCACAATATCGTTTACTTCAACTATACCTACTACAGTTAGTATTGTCTAGAAATAAAAAATGTTTGTGAAAATTGTTAAGTTATTATCATGGATACTATTACATAACGTTAGTCATGACTAGTTGAAAAATGGTGGTGTAAATTGGAGCCTTATATGAGGTTATCTGAATCATTTCTTTAAGAGCTGTATCAAATGTGATAATCACACAATGATGCAACAAATCAACTGCACCCAGAGAAGATGAATTGATTCGTTGTAGCTTTCACCCCAAATTAGAAGGTATGCTCTGAACGTTATATGAGAAATCTATTAGGGTTATGTAATATTAAGTTTTCAACACCGATTCAGGTTCGAAAATTACATTATAAAAGATGCTGAGTTAATTGAAATCGTGGGAATTGCTCAGTCTCTTCAAATAAATGTACGGTAGTTAATTGCATTCAATGCATCAACTGAAAGTTATTGACATATGGTTATCTAATGATGTACACGACCTGCAACAAAGTGCAGGCAAAATTAAAATGATTTATGGTATGGGAATATATTAGGAAACAGTTCTCAGTACCAATCAGACTCAAAGCACAGATAAAATGAATTTCAGCTGTTTTTATTCAAACGTTTTTATTTAGCTTGCCCTGTTCGTTCGTTTGTTTGTTGGTTCATTTGTTTGGGTCAAATTTAATAATTGAAGTTTTGCCCTCTTTCTGTTGACAGATTGATCTGAAATGAAAAGATGCGAATTCAAGATGGCCGCAGCTACAAAATGGCGGATTACATATTATCTTGTAATACTGAGGCACTAAATGAATTAAACAGAATGAGAAGAATTGAGTACCAAAATTAGAAACTGAAAACTTGAAAATAAAATAAGGAAAAAAAAGTTAAACGGTTTTATTAAAAAGAGAAAAAAACAATGATGTAGATAAAAATTAAAAACTATTTCATTACACCACTCTTCTCACCAGTCTACTGTATTGATCAGATAAAAAAATTATAATATAGTGGGGAGTTGCTTAACCTGAATGAATATGTAAATATTACGCACAACAATTTTATTATTATTTCATCTGATCAATACCGTAGATTGTTGAGGTATCATGACTGCTACCTAGGACCTTCCGATTTTTTTTTCATTATCTACATCATTATTTTTTTCAATAACACCGTTTAACATAAAAAAATCTACTTTATCAAATGTCGGAAATAAAAGCTGTATTTGAAAAAGTAATTGGAATTTTTTACAATAAATACGCTTTTTGAAGTGTTTCAGATAACTGAACGCAATTAAAAATACTTTTAGTTATATTGAAATATTAAAATTTCAGAATTAAATAAATTTTCTGTTCAATTATATACCTACTCGCAACACATTCCTTCACCGTTCCAAACTTACTAATATAGAGAGATACATTTATTTAAATGCTTTACAAATGTAATTTGATGTATGATTCTTTCAACTAACTAAGTCTTTTCAATTGCTATTTTCAGGAGGGGAATGAAATAGTAGGTTTTACGGTACTTTCATTTTCCTTCCACTTATCCATGGAGAAAAACCCGTTGCTTTATCAATTGGGTTCTATATGCTAGGAGAAACATCTTTACCGATTTGACGCATTGTTTTTACTTTTTTCAAAATGGACATGGATAGGTACATGATAATTTTTTGTATTGTGTCAATCCGTTGGGGTCGTATGTGATAATAATAATAATAATTGGTTTTATTGATAAGTTCATGTGTCTTCTTGAATTTATTTGAGCTAAATGAGGTATGACTTGACGTTTTTTGGAATTATATTTCTCCTCAATCTGAATTATAAATATAGATCTGGGCAAGTGTAATAAAAAGCAAAGATGAGTTCATTGCGAAAGTTTACTGCGTTTTATGAACTTCTAAAGAATCTGATCAATCGATAACTAATCATATTTATTTTGACAAAATGGTTTACACTTTCGCGGCTGAGGTTTTCAGTGTCACTGTTTTTCGAGTTTGAAAGCCGTGAATTTTTTGAATTTCTTCCTGACGTTTCGCTGGTGCGAGTGGCTAGCTTTTTCAGAGGTTTAACCATCATGGCTTGCTGTCCGATGACTAACTTTTAGGCTTCGTAAAGCGTATTTATGCCTTGTCAGGTAACCCGTTGTATTGGTACCTGTATTTGTACCTGCACTTGTACCTGTCCTTGAACCTGGATCATTAACAATCTTGCTGCCTATTGTCATTCTGTTCGTTATTCTCGAATTCCAAAAAATGGGGTTCCATATTCGATTGAGGTTCACCGCTTCTTCTTTTCTGTTGAAATTCTCCGTGTGTTTCTGGATCTCTATTGCCTAATTGTCCGCTTGGCCTAGTCTGCAGTTCCTTTTATGCTCTTTTAGTCTTATTCCCATGGATCATTTGTGGTTTCGATATATACCTTCCCACAAGTGCACGGTGTGCGATAGAACCCTGCTGCTGATAATGGGTCTCTTTTGTCTTTAGCCGACCTGAGGCTTTGTTGTATCTTCCCCGTGGGTTTGAAAATTGTGTCGATGTCGTGTTTATCCAATAGTTTTCCAATTCTGTCCGTGACCCTGGGGATAAACGGTAGATATGCGCGTGCAACCATCTGATCCTTTTTCGCTTTTTGAACCGTTGTGTTCTTGGGTTTCATGGCTTTCCTGATCTCGTAGGCACTGTAACCATTCGATCTCAAGGTCACTTCAAGGTATTTGAGTTCCCTCTTCAGATGTTCTGGTTCACATATTCTCCGAGCTCGTTCCGTTGTTTGAAAACACAGAACTAATTGCTCCCAACCAGGGATACCATAGTCGACTGGTACGGGAGGCAATAGAGATCCACAAACACACGGAGAATTTCAACAGAAATGAAGAAGCGGTGAACCTCAATCGAATATGGAACCCCATTTTAAGGAATTCGAGAATAACGAACAGCAAGCCATGATGGTTGAACCAAAAATCTACGGATTTCAAATTCGAAAAACAGTGACACATATTTATTTTACTCTATTACACTAGCAGATTCACCATTGACNTATATACTCGCAACACATTCCTTCACCGTTCCAAACTTACTAATATAGAGAGATACATTTATTTAAATGCTTTACAAATGTAATTTGATGTATGATTCTTTCAACTAACTAAGTCTTTTCAATTGCTATTTTCAGGAGGGGAATGAAATAGTAGGTTTTACGGTACTTTCATTTTCCTTCCACTTATCCATGGAGAAAAACCCGTTGCTTTATCAATTGGGTTCTATATGCTAGGAGAAACATCTTTACCGATTTGACGCATTGTTTTTACTTTTTTCTAAAGAATCTGATCAATCGATAACTAATCATATTTATTTTGACAAAATGGTTTACACTTTCGCGGCTGAGGTTTTCAGTGTCATTGTTTTTCGAGTTTGAAAGAAGTGGATTTTTTGAATTTCTTCCAGACGTTTCGCTGGTGCGAGTGGCTAGCTTCTTCAGAGATTTAACCATCATGGCTTGCTGTCCGATGACTAACTTTTAGGCTTCGTAAAGCGTATTTATGCCTTGTCAGGTAACCCGTTGTATTGGTACCTGTATTTGTACCTGCACTTGTACCTGTACTTGTACCTGTCCTTGAACCTGGATCATTAACAATCTTGCTGCCTGTTGTCATTCTGTTCGTTATTCTCGAATTCCAAAAAATGGGGTTCCATATTCGATTGAGGTTCACCGCTTCTTCTTTTCTGTTGAAATTCTCCGTGTGTTTGTGGATCTCTATTGCCTACTTGTCCGCTTGGCCTAGTCTGCAGTTCCTTTTATGCTCTTTTAGTCTTGTTCCCATGGATCATTTGTGGTTTCGATATATACCTTCTCACAAGTGCACGGTATGCGATAGAACCCTGCTGCTGATAATGGGTCTCTTTTGTCTTTAGCCGACCTGAGGCTTTGTTGTATCTTCCCCGGGGGTTTGAAAATTGTGTCGATGTTGTGTTTATCCAATAGTTTTCCAATTCTGTCCGTGACCCTGGGGAT